TAGGTAGATGCTGTTATATTGACAAGTTCTACTTTTCTTCCCATTTTCTTTCTTATTTATTCTCCTTCCTTCCTTCCTTACAACATCTGCTCTTTTTCTTTCCTTCCTCTTTTTTTTTCTTAAAAAAATACTGCTGTTAATGGAGAAAGTAGTCACCAAAATTGGAGACATACAGACATTCTCAACTGACTTTTTTAACATTCAAGAAGACTAATAATAATACATCTAAATTTTGTCTTCAAAATGTATGTTAGGTATTTTGTTTTAGTGTTTTCCTATGTTTATATATACAAATTCTTAAAAACTAGTTAAAGTTTAAAATTATTATTGCCATTTTATTACCTATTTTTAAGCCTAATGATTAATTATAAATTTTCACTTATGTTTAATTTAATATCACATATAATTTATTTAACCTGTTCATTATTATGGAATATCTATAGTTTTAATTTGCATTTCTTTTATCACTATTGCAGAATGATATGATTTCATGTATATTTTAGCTTATTATTTATCACTACATTATTAATCTTGTTATTTTATATATTTTTAAAAAATATGTTATAAATAATAACATATTTTTTAATGTATGTTATATTTTACAGTTCTATTGTGAATTGCCCATTCATATATTTAGCTTATTTTAAAAATAGAATGATTCATTTATTTACACATAAAGAATATTAATTATATGAACATCATACTCACTAAAATATTTAACTTTATTTGTTGTTGGTCTCTTACATTTGTTAAAGACATTTTTAATTTGTGAAAATTTTTAATTTTAAATAGTAAAATTAAAAATCTTTATGTTATATGCCACTGTGTTTATGCCTTAAAAGTCTCTCATTGTAGAATTCAGAAAACCATATGCATATCTAGAGGTCTTTAAATACTTTATTTGTTATATTTAGAAATATTAACCTGAAAAGAAACAGGAAATGGAATTGAATTTTCCCCATATAATCAGTCAGTTATATCAACATGGTCCCTGGAAATGCTGCCTGTAGTATGTACCTTATAATGGAATTGTTTTGGCTTGTCCTACTTATTTGTCTCTTTCAGTGATAATATCATACTGCAATTTGTATTTCAATCATAGGTAAAAATCTGCCTTATTCTTTATCCTTTGCCAAAAGGCTGAGACCTAACACTTGATAATTTTGTTTTTAAATGTAGTTTTTAAGTTTGTCAATCTCCTGGCCTTTTGGTTTTGTTCTTTTGAGATAACTTTTAAAAATCAAGAATATTAAAGATAATTTTAGTTCAGTTCAATAGATGTTTTTAATATTTTAATATTAGTATTTTAATATTTAATAGATCAACCTCTGTGCTCTAGAAATATATTAGTCTGATAAAGGTGAACACAATATGTAAATCATTGAGGTAGTGGACTAATATCGACAGCTTTCTTTTTTTTCTTTTTTGATTCATTCTTTTTCTTTTATTATTCATGATTTGTTGGTCCTAATAATTTTATATATATTTTCCTTTTAATCTAGGAAAAATTGTTACATGATACAGACATAACAGAGATAGGTTGATTTTGGCATATGAAATATGGTGCCATTTTTCTTGTTTATATAGTCTGTTTTTTCTAACTAATGAACTTATAATTATGTCTTCCTCTTTTCAGCTTTTTAAATGTTTATTGAGTTCATGTTAGGCACTATTTGAGAAGCCTTAGGGAAGATAAAAATGAATACATTCCACAAATTCATAATCTAATGGGGAAATCCTCAGTTTGTAAGAATAAGAACATTATAATAATAGTTGTTGTGTACATTGTAGCTTGATACTAGCCATTGTACTAGGCAAGGTAATATGTGTTATCTCATTTAATCCTACAACAGCTCAGATAGTTCCATTTTTTTTTGACCTTTTCCTTTACTTCCTCCTGGTTTCTTCATATTGTCACCTCTTCTAAGAAACTTCCCTATGCAAGCCTATCTAAACTATCAGCCCACGTGTCTACCCATCTTGTTTTGTTTACCTTCCTTGTACTACTTACATGACATTATAATTCTAGTAATTTCCTTGTTTACTATTTGTTTCCCTTGCTGGAATGAATGTTAAATGGAAGAATTAATAATAAGTCATGAGAGTTTGAAGTTGCAAAAGGGCAAACTCCATATATTAATATATAATGCATAATAGCTTAAAACTTAAATTTGTAATTCTTTACATAGATTTGACTAAGTTCTTGTTTTATAGTTTGGTTAGGTTGTTCATTGTTTTATTCAGTTAATACTCATTGATCTTTTAGTCTATGGAAGGCTATAGTCATAGAAATGCAGATACAGTAAAAAAAGAACAACTGCCTGCCCTGGTGGTACTTTCATTTTAATAAGTGGGACAGAAAATAATTTAATTAAATTATTTTAAAATATATGTTATAATGGCCAAATAAAATTTCTCAATGGTATCATTCCTCACCTTATCTTTACAATCTGGACATGGTTTTCTTTCTTGTTCCTAATCACCCTCTGTTTATTCATCTGTATTGGTTCAGATTCTATGTCACCTGATTCTAATTTTCAGTTCCTCTCCTCAAGTTTACATTTGCAGAGTACGTGTGACATTGCCAATACCCTGAATAAAACAGCACAGTCATTTTCCTTTTCTAGATCTCATTTGGTTATTGATACAGCTTAAAGTTAATTTTGTTTTGGTTTACTAGTGTGGTTTGATGTTTGTTGCTTTGTTTTCCCTTTGCAGAAACATTACGTATGCACATTAAAAATCCAGTCAATCAAAATCTTCAGACTTAAAAAGGTATTTTAAGGGTGTCTCTCACTGTGAATGTACTGGCTTATAGGATTAGCTATGTTTATGTATTGTATTTCCGTTAGTAAAACTGCTATTGTGACTTTGGCCAAATCTCTGTGGAGACTATTAATAAATATGACATCAAGGTCATCATTTGGATTTCATAGCAAATTTAGAGAGATCACTTTCTAAGATCATACAATATCAAACACAATTTTTTTATTTTTATTTTTTCTTTTAGAGATATTTTATTTTTTAATTGTTATAGAATAACATAAACTTAACATCATAACCATTGTAAGAATACAACTCAGCAGTGTTAAGTATATTCACATTGTTGAGCAACCAATAACCAGAAGTTTTCATCTTACATAACTAAAATTTGTTCTTTGTCTATACCCAAAATGCTGGCTACCATACTCACTTTTCTATTTCTATGCATTTGACTCTTCTAGATGTCTCATATAAAAGGAATCATACAATATTTTTCTTTCTTTCTTTWTTTTTTTGATACTGGGAATTGAATTTAGGAGTGCTTTACCACTGAACCGCATCCCTAGTTCTTTCTTTTTATTTTTTTTCCTTTCTCTTTTTATTGGTTCTTTTTAGTTATATTTGTCAGCAGAATCCATTTTGATATAATTATACAAGCATGGAATATATCTTATTCTATTTAGATCCCCATTTTTACGCATGTACATGGTGGTGGGATTTACTGTGTTGTTTTCATATATGTACATGGGAAAACTATGTCAGATTCATTCCACTGTCTTTGATTATTCCCTCTCCTTTCTCTCATTCAACATTGTCTAATGTACTGGGGTTCTATTCTTTCCCTCATCCTTTACCTTTATTGTGAGTTGGTTTTTACCTATCAGAAAGAAAAAAAAGACTTTTGGTTTTTGGGGACTGGCTACTTCACTTAGCATAATTATCTCCAGATCCATCCACTTGCTGGCAAATATCATACAGTCATACTTCTTTATAGTTGAATAATATGCCATTGTGTATACATAGCACATTTTCTTTATTCATTACTTTTTTGAAGGGCATCTAGGTTGGTTTCATAGCTTAGCTCATGTAAATTGAGCTGCTATAAACATTGATGTGGTTGTGTCACTGTAAACGTATGCTGATTTTAATCCTTTTGGATGTATACTGAGGAGTGTGATATCTGGGTCAAATATGAATGGTCAACAAATACATGGAATAATGTTCAAAGTCTCTAGCAATTACAGAATGCAAATTAAAACTAAACTGAGATTATATCTCACTCCAGTAAAAATGACAATTTTCAAGAATTCAAGTAACAATAAATGTTGGCAAGGATGTGGGGGGAAGGTACTCTTATACATTGCTGGTGGGTCTGAAAATTGGTGCAACCACTTTGGAGAGCAGTATGGAGATTCCTCCAATAATTTTTAATGGGAAAGTTGTTTCTAGTTAAATCTTTTTATAGTCAAATACACCAGTTGTCTGCAAAGGCATCTCAGTTTCCTTCCTGCTCTATAACTGCCAGCCTTGATTGTGATTGTGTACTAACAAAGGCATTTGGATGCAAAGGAATTTGATAGTGACTAATCCATTTGTTTGTATCTCTGCCTCCAAATCTGTATAGTCTTGCTGTGAAGACAGAAAGTATAAAGCAATGTCCTAATGTCAATGCCTTAGCTGCCATAGACCAGTTTACCCTATGCTGGAAACATTGCCCTCTGCTCCCTTATTTTTCCCTACCCATTTTCTTTGGATTATCTGTGATTGTGCAGAATTTTCAATTTTACCTACTATTTTGAGGACAGGACTTTGGTCTTATTGTTTATATTTCCTAACTGAACATGCTTATCAATCCATTATATATTATAGATATTTGCAAGGTTGCTATTAAATAAGGATAAGCAAATTGATGGGTCAAAAGCTATTTGGGATTAACTTTTTAAAAATATGAAAATAAAAATATAAATACATTATTAGCATGAATTAAGAAAGTGTCTAATAATACCCTGCTATCTGACATACTTCTCAGAAATGTGCTTACAGTGGTTTAGATTGAATACTTCTGCTGCATATATGCATTTGAATGTGTTAGCTTTAATTTTTCTTTTAAAACTACAGACATCAGTTGGCATAAACAAACTCAGTTACCTGCTTCTCACAGCTAATCATAAAGACATCAAAGAAATACAAATCGTTTCCTCAGCATATTTCTAATCTTAAGTATTTCTTTTTTAAAGGTATGCATAAAGAAGTGTTATGAATTGCCCTTTGAGACTCTGAAGGCCAAAGGTAATGTCCAGTGATATTTATCACTGGGTTATCTTCTTGAAATATTTTATAATATTTAAGGCCTTGAATTTATTACATCATCTTTTCTTTATTGTTATTATTCCCTAGCACATTAAATAACTTTTTCTATGTCTATCTAAAAATAATCTGAAATGATAAATAAAAGGGAAGAAACCTTATGTCATCTCAAACTATTTCAGTCTAGTTGGATATTGTTTTTACCCCCTTCTTATTTCTATGTAGGAATGTATCATCCCTCCCCTGCCATTATTTGTTAGTTTAGAATTAGTTTAGAATTCTTTAAATTTAAAACCTTGTCCTTTCCTTAAGTAGACATATTGGCAAGAAGTCAGTACATATTCCTCCTTGGGAATAGTTTAACACCTTACTATAAGAGATAAAAATACATTTGTTGTGGACAGTGAAACTATTCAGATGATGTTTAATGGCTACTGATAGTCAAAAATCCAGATTTTTCAGGTAAGAGGTTTACAATAGATTTGTGTTGCTGCATTGTGTATAAAGAGCTCATAGGGCTTGAAGGAGGTTTCTTAGACAAGAGGGGGCTGTAATTACTTTGCTTCTTACATGCATGGTTAGATCTTCCAGCGAGAATAGCATGGTAGGGTAATTTATTATAGAAGAATAAATCACAGATTACATTGGAGGGGGATGGGGTGGTGCAATCCAACTATCAGTTTTGTGAATACATACATTTAAGCATGTGTGATAGCTTGTTTTTAATTTCTTTACACCAGTGCACACCTCAAACATTCCATTTAGCTGTGGGATATGCAAATTGTTCCAAATGCAGCAGCAGTACTTTCACCTGAATGTCAAAACTGTCAGAGAGCTTTAAATCAAATCTTTATAACATTTAAAAAAAAAAAAAACCAGCCAGCCCTAAGATGTAGGCACCAAACTCTGAAAAAACTTGATTCCCATACTTCCAAAAAGCTTCTGTATGTCAACAGGGTAATGTCAAAGTTCTAATTCACCTGTTTTCTAATTTTAACCTTTTAAGGACTTTATTTTATTTGGCTTAATTATGATGTTTTCTACAAATTAATGATAAATGGCTTGATTAATAAAACCAAATGTCAGAGAAAATGACAACTTGATGAAAAATTAATACTTGGCAATATTTTAAGGTACAGAAATAATAAAGAAGTAATTTTAAATTTTTTTATTTATATATGACAGTGGAATACATTACAATTCTTATGACGCCTATAGAGCACAATTTTTCATATCTTTGTTTGTATACAAAGTATATTCACACCAATTCGTGTCTTTATACATGTACTTTGAATAATAATGATCATCACATCCCACCATTTATAACCCCCATGCCCCCTCCCTTCCCCTCCAACCCCTCTGCACTTTCTAGAGCTCCTCTATTCCTCATTCCTCCCATGCTCCCCCTCCCTATCCCACTATGAATCAGCCTCCTTATATCAGAGAAAACATTCCGCATTTGGTTTTTTGTTTTTGTTTTTGTTTGGTATTGGCTACCTTTACTTAGCATTATCTTCTCTAACTCCATTCATTTACCTGGAATTGCCATGATTTTATTCGCTATTATTGCTGAGTAATATTCCATTATATATATGCCACATTTTTAAATCTCTTCATCTATTGAAGGGCATCTAGGTTGGCTCCACAGTTTAGCTATCGTGAATTGTGCTGCTATAAACACTGATGTGGCTGTGTCCCTGTAGTATGCTGTTTTTAAGTCCTTTGAGTATAAACCAGGCAGAGGGATAGCTGGTTCAAATGGTGGTTCCATTCCCAATTTTCCAAGAAATATCCATACTGCTATCCATATTGGCTGTACCAATTTGCAGTCCCAACAGCAGTGTATGAGTGTACCTTTTTTCCCATATCCTCACCAACACTTATTGTTGTTTTTATGCATAAAAGCTGTCATTCTGACTGGAGTGAGATCCAGTCTTAGAGTTGTTTTGATTTGCATTTCTCTAATTGCTAGTGATGATGAACATTTTTCATATATTTGTTGATTGATTGTACATCATCTTCTGAGAAGTGTCTGTTCGGGTCTTTGGCCCATTTATTGATTGGGTTGTTTGTTTGTTTGGTGATTAGCTTTCTGAGTTCTTTGTATACCCTAGAGATTAGTGCCCTCTCTGATGTGTGAGGGGTAAAGATTTGTTCCCCAAATGTAGGCTCTCTATTCACCTCACAGATTGTTTCTTTTGCTGTGAAGAAACTTTTTAGTTTGAGTCCATCCCATTTATTGATTCTTGACTTGATTTTAATTCTTGCACCACAGGAGTCTTATTAAGGAAGTTGGGGCCTAATCCCACATGATGGAGATTAGGGCCTACTTTTTCTTCTGTTAGACACAGTGTCTCTGGTTTTATTCCTAACTCCTTGATCCATTTTGAGTTGAATTTTGTGTAAAGACGTATTTTTAAACCTCATATTTCATCAGTACTTTCTTGAAGATAGGTAACCACAATGCTCTCTGCACCTAAGTTTTCACAGTCACATGTGTAAGTGATACAACTTTCAGCAATTTTCTGCTATTATTTTTACTACAAAATATTAGTTAGTAGTATATTAGAAATATATTTTAATATATTAGAAATATATTCATAATTTTAATCTCTTTTGCCCCATAAATCAAAATAAACTATACTTTGGGATTATTGTAGAAATGAAGTTACCATACTAAGAATCCAGTTAGTAATGCGTGTGCCAACATGCCAACACACCAATACTTATATGTGTTTCAAGAAGTATCATGGTGTAAAATTTAGTAATTGGTGACTTGATATCTGCTAGACTGCTAATTCAGTTGGTTATGAGTATTTTGGCTTTTATATTTAAATTTTTTCAGTATATTCAATTACATATATATTATTTTTACTGAATAATTTATGTATATATGTCTTTTTATAACAGAGAGAGAAAGAAGGAGAGAAAGAGACAAGGAGAGCAAGAGCATAGCGTTTCAAAGAATGATTTTAATATAGGATTTTTTWWAAAAAAATGTATATTTTTTTCTGAGTTTTCATTAAAAGAACCAAGTACAAATAAAGGGCTATAACTTGCTTTTTGCTGTTAAACAATTTATCAGCTCAAAAAACTAAAGAATGACAAATATGACTATTTTATTTTACTCCTTTTACTAGAAGTTATGGGATTGAAATATAATAATATCCTGTATAATTTTTTATCTTCACAAGTATCAGGATTTTTACCATGAATATCTAAATATTAACTTAAATGTTATATGRAAATGGTACCATGCATAATTATATCCTGTGTTAAATTTCTATTTTCACATTTCACTTATAAAACTATCAACCTAATGATGGAGGGCAAAGTGACCTCTTCTGTTGTGCTTTTGTTTTGCTTGATTGTCCAGGATAAAAAGACCCACATAATATAATGTCAGTGAAATGGACTCAATTTGACCATCTGTTCATGAAACCACATGATGTGCTGGTCATACCTACCAACAGAAATTTTGGCCAACTAATGTTAGAATCACTTCTTTTTATAATATATTTGGTATTTTTAGTTAGGTATTTCAAACATATTTCTATACAAGTAAGATAAATAGAGGTAAGTATTCATCAACATTCTGTAAACACAATATATGCCAATCCCAAGGTGAAACATCATCAGTATAGATTTCCAGTGATATTTAAAATTGGAAATGGATTGTGTTGAATCTTCTCTTAGCTGGCTGTAGGTTTTATTGTTTTTGTATCTTGCCTGCTTCCAAGCATCCAGTCTGTACTGGCAAAGCTGCTTGATGATAGAGACCACCAACATTGCTGCCCTGACTGCTTACAATACCTGCCATGAATAATAGCTCTGTCAGCTAGTTAATCATTGCTTTGTAACTGTCTCTGTTCCATCTCAGCTGATCACTGCCCAGAGGAATTTAAGTTTCATTGTAATACAAGGCTTATATTATATTTCTATACCTTCCTTGTATGCAAAATAGTCCATTCTTCTTCTCTTTATATAACAGTAAATAAGACATGCCCCACTTTTTTTGACTGTTCTTAAGTTACTATTAAACAATGTGCTTTTCTCCCCTTGTTTTTTCTGTACTTTATCCTTTCACCAATTTACTTCTACACATATATCAGTTAACTATTTCTCCTTAGTTACAAGATTTTATAATGAATTACTAATTACTTTACAATCTGTAGCCTTACAAGTTTTTAGTTTAAATTCCACTGAGGGGGTAGTATTTAAGAGAAAGTTGTCCTTCCCCCAAAATGTCTATAAACAAAGGAGAGAGACTGAAACCCAAAATGATCTCAAAAAGGCGTTTGCTTGGTCTTATACTGTTTGGTCTTAGAAAAGAAGACAATTGAGTCAACCTTATATAGAATTTTTAATTGCAGCAAGTTGAGTTGTGATATTTTAAACCTGATGCTTGAATTAAAACACATAACAATCCGCTGATGTTCTTTAAAGAATCTAAATCTTAGGGAAAATTAAACAGTGTTAGTTTTTCCAATAGAAAAAAACTAAAAATGAATGTATTGTACTGAACTTAAATACTTAGTTGTGATTCTTGTATATAGACTACATGTTCTTTCTAAATTACCTTTTATCATTTATAAAGTGAATTCTCACTTTAAAGCTTATATTTTATTCCACAAGATCAAGGAATCCAGATCTTCCTGACATGAAAATATCAATGTGACTTCTAAAGTTCCCTAATGTGTAACTTAAGTACCAGTAGAATTAGTCTTTGAAAGCATGAGTAATTTGCCTTGAAAACCTGTGTTTACTAATTGAATAAAATGTAATAATGAAACACAAAAATAGCACAAAGATATCAATAAAGTTTAATATATAAAGAATTTGTGTTTTGTTTTGTTTTGTTTTTGCTAAAATGCTGCATTCATTCTTCTTCCATATCTACCATTCCTCCAAATATCAAGGTCCTCTTCTTGTATCCTTTATTGATGACAAGATGATTTTTATCCCCCTAATGAAGTAGGAAG